ACCGGCAAAGGACTAACAGCCCAGTATACAACTTTAATTCCAGCCTGTAATACAGATGAGGCATTACCTTCATGCCCGACACAGCCAAGGTGTTTTTCAGTCGGTATTTGCCATCCTTCTGGGGATATGTGTACAGCAGAACATCATTCATCTATATGAAGAGAAAGACAGAATCAATAATTTGCAATATGGCTTGCAGGCCTGCCCATTACTCCGGGGCGGGGGGGGGATGCACAGAACAAGCAGTAACTTGATGAACTGCTAGGACTGTTACTGAAGACAGGCCCAAGCTACACAGATCAAGACCTGCATTTTCACAAAACTCTGGGGAGTCTGCATCCAGGACTTTAATTTCTTTCCATTTTTGACTGTTGCTAATGTCTAAGCAAGTAGATAATCAGCTCTTTTTTTATTCAGCTGCTTGGCTTAAGGGCAATCCCCTGTTCAAGTTCGGAAGGCAGGCTCTGCATTACTACCTGGCAATACCAACTAACTGCCCAGGATGCTGCAGCTCTGACTCTCTCAGGGCTCCCCTGACAGTGAAGCTGCAGTGAGGCCAGGGGTAGGGCTGGGCTTCACAAACTTCCATTTTCTGGGCAGAAAGGAAGTGGAGGTGAGGAGAGGTGCCACGGTCTGGAGGAATGATTCAGGGAGGAATGGTTTGGATATTTGAGGGCAGTAACTATTTCACTGCTAGTGACACTCACCTAGACATATGATAGCTTTGCTGAGTCTGTGGGCCACAGCAGAGACCATGGAAGGGCAAAAATGAGAAACTTGTTTCATTTTATGAGGAAAAAGAATCTGTACCTTAACACTCCAAATATTTCCATAGTTCTCACATTCTGCTGCTTGCGGAATGCATGTTTTTCAAACAGCTCCATGCTAAACGTGATCAGATCTTCTCTGCTCTTTGCCTAACTTAATCATAGACATTACTGCAGCCTTTTACCTTTGTGTCAACAAACAAATGAAACAGCTGAACTGGACCTTGTAGGTCTTTGCTGGCCTCTCCTTCCCTTACTACTAGAAGGAATAGCAGTATCAGTGGGCCTTAACATTGCCAAAGTAACGCCTGTGTGTATGCATTCTCTGCTTTATATGAATAAGCAGGTCGTGTTCTTCTGTTGACTTTCCCAGGCCTCTTGCCTCAGTAGCAATATGCATAAACTCAGGCAGCCCCTCGATTACTGTATGGGGGTACTATGAACAAAGATGAGCAAGGCGATGTAAAACCAAGGCATAGGTAATACTGTATGATGCCAGAGACAAGGCATCTTAAATGCAGAAATTCTCAAATTAATAAGTAGACAGAAACCAGCTTCACCTGGATTCCTCTGTAACAAAGGCATTTAAATATAGCCAATTGGATGGTAATAATACTGTTTTTTAGAAGGAAAACTGTGATAAAGAGATGCAGAGAAGAATGGAGGAAACTAAAGAATGACTTGGCAACAAAATAATGTATCCTGTATGACTGGAATTGTTGGGGGTCTTGGTAGTACTGCCTGACCACCTAAAACTGCTGGTGTAAAATTTTCACTAATTTGCTTGCCTGAAAAAAACCGGAAAGTGGAGCCTTATGGATGTTTTCTTAAAAGGTCATAGTCCAGCTTTCTTACAGAGCAGGAACAATGGTTAAAGAAAAATTACTTGGAATTAGTACTCATGGGATTAAATCCTTTACCTTGGACTTAACAGCAAAACTGTTGTTGCCTTTACGAGGGTCATGAATTCAGTCATGGCCACCAGTTCATTAAGTAGCTGTTTGATTCACAGCAAATCAGGCTTATGTGCATTAGCTGCCCATCTTTAAAATGCAGATTCCCATTAATGTGAGGCAAAATATACTGACAGGTGACTTTCCCCAAAACTTTTACTTTGAATTTTGCTACTTTTAAAAATTGAATTGAGTTTACTGAGTAGGTTCAGTCAATATTTTTTTAGAAAATGCTGAAATATTTCATTCTAACAAAAAGACTCCCATGCGCTCCTGCATTGGCCTCTCTATTGTGTGTCCTTCTAGTAACTCTTAACTCATGTGGAGTTTGAAGCTCTTTTGGTATAACACTTCTCAACTGAAGATATAAAAGCATACTATCAAGTCAGAACAGGACTCTCACGTTCTCTTCTCTGTAATCTAAAGTGGAGTATTTACTCCTTTTGCAACAATACAATAGAATTTCCTTAGAATAAGGTGACAAATGGCTTGTCACAGAGTTTTTCTGTGATTTACTTATTGCTCCATAATTACCATCCAGTGACACCTGCACAGTACTGACCACATGATGATTCCCAGTTTAACCAGGGCTATGCATAAGCAGAAAATTCATCACAACCTTCTGCACACGGGCTATCTAGGAGGCTAAGGTAGAAAAAACTGAGCAAATACAAACTTCTTAGTGAAAAGCAGATGAAAGCTATTTTCACGTGTTATTACTAGTAGCAACTAGGACTCCAGCACCCAGGTGGGAAAAGGTAAAAAGGCAGACAGACTTTATTGTTAACATTAAGAGAATACTCTGTGAAATAAGAGAATACTAGTGAAATCTCGTATTTGCCTAGTGATTGTTATCTCCTGAGTGTTCAAAGGATTATATGGGAAAATAGAACTTCCTCTGCCACTCGTCAGTGCCAGTACTTAAGGCTTATTTCAAACAACAGGAAAAGGTAACTAGTAATGGCCACTAAGCCCAAGGAAGTGAGCTCCTAAGAGAGATTTTCAGGATTCTGGCATAGTGTGCTACTGGGTTTCTTGAACAGCAAGCCCTGTTTATTTTATTTATTTAAAAGGTTACGTATTTCTTTAAGAAGTGTCTCGTTCTTCTGTTACTGTTGATTAAGGGTGACACCCTGGCACATACCATTGTGACAGCTCTGGTTAATATTATTAAGCAGTAATGGTGATTTTGCTTTGTAATTGACCATTGGAGGTTTTTCCCCTCCTATTTTTCTCCCCCACAGTATATAGCAGTGGGCTGTAACTCTGAGGTCCCACCAGCCGCAGCTTGCCACAGTGAAATTCTGACAAAGATTTCAAAGCTTGCTAAGCAAGGCACACATATTCATGAAAAAAGAAAGGGTTTGCACTCCCTGCTGTCTCCTTTGCCACATCAACACTGGAGACCTGAGTGGTGGCTATACGAATGGTATGGACAGAACTAGCATCAGTACCCGTGGTTTCCTGCATCCTCCCCTCCTGCTTGATGCTGCACAGTGTTCCCTGAAGCAGTGACGACTGGGCCATGGTAAAAGCTGATCTCGCAGAAGTCCTTGGGCTTCAGACCCACTTCCTGTTTGCCAGAAAACTTTTGAATAATTGGGATCCCCAAACTGCTCAGATCTTCATTTGGGAGCCAGTATTCCTATTCTGCACTGCTCCATCCACACACACAGTTCCCAAAACAACATTTGATAACACAAAGGATACGTCTGTTCTTTGTCTTTTTTTTCTGTTACTACTTTTCTTTTTACCCCCTTCTTTTTATAATCCCCTCTGTTATGATGGCAACCCAGTAACATTAGAGGTCAGTGCAAGTTTTCTAACCTACAGTGGCCAAATTTATTGATCCAAACAAATTTGTCTCTGCCCTGCTAAACTGCTGGCATCCATACGTAATGCACTCTCTGTCTAAAAGCTCCTACCACGTGTTTGGTTTTTCTGAATTTTTAAAGGGTAGTTCATTATGAACCCTGTGTTGTTCTATTCAAGTCTGCGTGAAACATCCCCTGAGTGTCAGTGGAGCAGCCTGAATGTGCGCTGGGCTGCATTTTCCAAGCTCTGACTCCAAAACCTCCTATACTCCAACCCTGCCAGCTAGAGCATTAAACAGTCTCCCATTTGATAGCAGCTTCCTGCACCCCACTTGCAACACAAGCAGCCTTTGTAGAGAAATTCTTGGAAGGGTGAGATAAGAGACAGTGTCTGAGTTGCAAAGTTCTGTGGTTGGGGGGCACTTAGGGGGCCTGCCAGTGTCAGCAGCCCATACTGTGCTGCAAAGAGGCCCCAACATCCTTGTAAACAGAGACTGGACTCAGGAAACAGGCACACAGCAAAACTCACCAAACATCCTGCCAGGAAACACCAGATTCAACAATACCATCAGCTTGCACAAACCAGCCAGCTCAAGTAACCTTGTGATACACATAACATACACATATGCACATCAAAAGCTCCTAAATGTGTGTTCTACACACTCATGCCTATATGGGCTGTGCACAGACATGCAACGTGCCTTATGGGCATATATTCAGAGCACAAGCACGCACACCCTGGATGCACTGGCCAAGTGGGAGTCTGGCACGCACCCCATTTTTATAGCACATTCTAACTACAACGTTAGTTTGGTGGGCTCATCTCCTGAGATGTGTAGGGTTTACATTTTCAGGGTTCTCCTTCAGTGTATACTCTTCCACTGAAATTCTCTCCAGGTCCTGCACTTGACAGCATCAGTCAGAGTAAGTTCACTACTAAGAAGTTCAGAAAATGCTGTTCATGTAAAAATCTCATTTGGGTAGCTAAGGTAAATACACTTATTTCATCCAAAGCTAAACCAAACTACACCCATACGTTAGCTTCTGGTGATCTTTTTGAGTGGCAGCTAGCATGTGAAGCATCAAAAAAAAAAGCCAGTTCTGAAAGATTTTTTTGATTAATACATTAGGACAAATTCTTATCCAGTTTTGCCAGTGGCTTCAAAGGATTATTATACGGTCCTTAGAAGATAAGGGCTTCAAATAAATGTGGGTTTTAAGAGACAGTGTCAGCAGATTACTCTAGTCTTGGGGTTCTGTGGTTTTGGGTTTTCATTCTTTTTTTCCACTGAGTGTCCCCAGGCATCAGAATCAAGACAGCACGTGGGTTGGGCTAGATGCACAGGCAGAGGGAAGGATATTTTCGTGCAGGCTTTGGCTGTTGCAAAAAGGTGTTGGTAGTGATGGTTGGTAGGCTCTTAAGACTGCTATATGCCAAGATGAAAATGCGTTGCCATAGTTATACAGTAGTTGTCTTAATGTATCCACAGGCTAAATAGTCCATTAAACAATGCATGAGTGGTGGTGGCACAACAGAAACCGCAGCAATAGCAGGGACAAGCAGGTAATGCAAAACAATTCAGGTGTTAATGCAGGAATTGCCATACTCCACAGTGACGCTTTCCTGCAATTTCACCATACATGGCATTGCTCTGCAACCTGAGGAGCTTTCAGGGTAGAGGAGACTGAGTGAAAAAAAATCACTGAACCCAAAAGCAGATATTTGCCAGTAAGTTTCAAACTATTTCCAAGATCCAGTCACCCCTGCCCCGCCACAACAGGAGACATAATAAGGAAGCCTGAAGTGAAGAAGCCAGTTTTATGTGTCTCTTGGTTCTTGAAAGTGACCACTCTGGTTTAGTCTAGCTGCACCACATACTTTGCATGACAGAATGTTTGGTCACAGTTTGCCTTTCTGACTGAAAGGAAGAAAAAAACACTGTTTCTGAACACTGAGAGCATCTATTAACAACAGGACATTGACTACTGTAATGTCTCCAGCTGCCAAGAGACACTTCTGTCTTTGCAGTTAACATCCGGGTTTGAGCAGCTGAACTCTCCCCAGGAATCAAAAATAGTTCCTAAACTAGAAAGTGCCAGAAACTCATTTCTGTGCTTTCTTTGTTCCAGTAATACTTTCAGACTCTTGTGACCTTCAAGCTGATACAACCATTTTAGACTACTTGAAGTTTATCTATCTCAGTTTATCACAAATTTAAATTACTTTCCTCTCAATGTTTATTACCAACCTGATTTCTGATCTTCCTTTTAAATTCTCCACATCAGTTATAACAGCTAGGATTGTGACACTTCAGTATTTGCCACAGTAGTGGATTACGATGGCAGTTACAAACACACTGGAACTTGAAACGCTAACAACTTCCTGGAATTTGGTCCCAGCTTTAGCCACAACTCCAACATGTTTTTGTAATACTAGCAAAAGTGAGTGTTTCAGAAGAGAGATCAGTAAGGAAGCAAGTATCATCTGTTATGAAGTGGTCATCAGTAGGCTTCAGAGTTGCTTCTGCTGAGAACACTGTTTCTTAAAACCAGCTCCTGGAGATTCTGGCATGGCCATTTTCCCTTGGCTGCAACAAAGTCATGATTTTGACATTTATTGCTGTTGTTATAGGTCATTGATGCCAACTCAGTAAAACAGCACTGCAGCAATCTCATATTCAACCTCATATTTGGGTGAAATCCATCACTTCGAGTACATGAAAGTCTGAATTTTCACAGAAACCAGTGGAGCCATCAGAAAAGTGCAGTGCCAATACTGTGTCCCATCCCATCTGATCTTTGATTATGACTGCAATATCTGATTGAGGAGGCAAAGAAGCTTGTGCGTCTGCTCATGCACAAATAAGAAATATTAATGAGGGAGACATAAGAAGAATTAATGGTAAAATGTATGACTTCTGTAATAAGCCATCTCCGCACAGTGGTCCCAGCGTGAAAAGCTGTCAGCACTTACAGAGGCCACAGCAAATACATATTCCAGACATCTAAGCCATTTCTTTTGAAGTAAATTCTGCAAACAGTACTTTAATGTTAATAGCACTAGTGATGCTCAGTTCTTTATGGCTCTTTTCTGGGAAGGAGCTCTAAAGAATTTTTCAAACATTAACAGGTAAGCAGGTAACAAACTACTAAGACACAGGCAAGTGTTATTTTCCCCTTCGTACCAATAAATGCATAAAAATGCCTGTGGTTACACAATAAGCTACCTGAAAAGTTGGGAACAGAGCTCAGGAGCCTGGAGTCTCAGATACTCTCTAACTGTTCAATGTAGTGTGTAATGCAATACAGAAGGCATGAGTGTTAATAGCATAACTCCAAAACCATGGCATTTATTTTGTTTTGATTTGCAAATACCTGCAATTTTTGCAGTAGGGTTGTGGACCCTTGTGAAGGGTATTCCAGCCAATTGATGAAGTTCATTTTTCTTAACTACCTCAAATTTTGCAAACCGTCATTGAAAACTGATGCCCTAATCAACAGAAAGCTAGAGGTGTGTGTTCAGAGGGGCTATACTGAGGCAATGCACACAGTTATCACGTAATTTACATAGATGTGGATAGCAGGAACTAAAACCCAGTCCTTGAGCTTCAAGTGAGGCCCAAGAAAGCTTTCATAAACTTTAGCAGTAGGGTGTTCTCTGTTGCTTCTAATGAGATCTCCTAAGGTCTTAGGGTTGGACTTTCAAGTATGAAGCTTAATTGCTGAAAGTATTCAGGAGCTCCCATCCTCCTGATTACCTTGGAAACTTGCACTCCTTGTAAAAATACAGCCTAGGCAAGGCTGTATGTAGCTGTGGCACAAATGGAGGGCTGCACAGTCTGTATCCCTGGATGCGGGGCCAGTGGGGACATGTGTGAAAAGGGCTACAGCCCTGTTAGCAACAGAAACTGACTCACCACAGCACTGCTGCTGATTAAATGACTTGCAGTCTCAAAGTTTCTGGCGGGGTTCAGGGCTGCATAAATGCAGGAGAAGATATGAGAGAGACAGCAAAACTATAAAAGAAATCTTACCAAGAACAAATGTCGAGGGTGCCTGTTTTTGCCAGAGACTTTCATCAGTGTTCCCTCTTTAACAAAGATCTGAAGGAGAAAACAGCAGGTTGTAATCCTGAGACTTCTCATTCTGAATCTTACTGAGAAAAGAGGATATTCCTCCTGGGTAAAGAGTCACTCTTAACTGCTTTCATCAGCACAGGAAGAGATAGATACCTAAACGCTTGCTTCCAGCCTTACTCCTTATGATCTGGCTTAGTCTTTGCCTGTGTTAGCTCAGCCTCATGGCTTGCATTTGTATCAGAACCGGGTGGGTTGGAAAACCACTTGTCCTCAGCCCACTGCTTCTGCACCGTGGACTGTGCTCAGAGGAGACTGTTGCAGATTGCAAAGCTAACTTATAATGGGCTTCAGAAAAGAATTCCTGTCTTTAAAAATCCTCTAAAATAGACTAGAAGGAAAAGCTGAAACCTTGGGTTTCAGCATGCTACATCCACGTAACTATGCCTGCATACATAATCTGTACATGTTTGGAAACACAATACTTTGTCAGTCCATATTGTTACTATGTATATAGACAGGACTGTATTTGTAAGCAGCTAAACCAGCATACTAGAACTTGATTGCAATAACATTTTAAAAGGCCTAGCATAACTGAACTACATCAGTGGATTAACAACTCTTTTTGGATGAAGAACAGATTCTGGTGTAGTTTTCCACTCTAGAACAATTCATAATCAAAGAGCCCAATCCCACAAATTCTGCATGCTGGGCTTTGCAGAATTTGTTAAAGCATTACGTAGCAAGGGCAAGTGAGAATACTGATGTTAGAGAAAAAATAGAGGTTAGACTGCAGTATTTGGCTGATGAGGATTCTTACGCTACGAGTATGCATGCCATGAAAATTGCTTCATGATACTGGTGGACTGAAGGGAAACTTCGACTTGCAGAACTCAAGAAAGAAATCTTTTGAAGTGTAGAGGCAGGCTGGAGCTGAGGAAACTGGATAGGTTTGAAAGCCAGGAGAAGAATTTTGCATTTGATGTGGATGGCAAGACAGAGCTATACACACTCCCACATTTCTGTTCATGTGTTGCTTAAAAATCATGTCTTGCATTAAAAGCACCACTGGGGAATGGTGAGAATAAAAATCTGAAAGCAAATAATTTTCCTTGATTTAAGGCTGTTACTCAGCCAAATAAAACTCTGAGCCCTTCCAGGCTGCAAGTGATTCTTGCTAGTTGCAGCCTTTCAACAGGAGTATATAGGGAGGAAAACAGCAGCTCCATCAAAACACACTGCTCATGGTGTGGCTGAGGATAGCTGGAGTGAAAAATCAAATGGCTACTCTGTGTAAAAGCAGGGGCAATGCCTGTCTTTCCCAGCCTGAGGCTCTGGCACATCTCTTTGCCCACTGCCAGAGTGATGGCTTTTTACACAAACCGGTGCTCCAACTCTTATCACAGTAGCTCGGTAAACAACACCTGTAGACATCTGAAATCTGGCCATCCACACAATCAGAGATATAGCTGGCCGGAAACAATGGCCTTATCAGCATAGCTCTGCCTGCAGCACTCACCCTTCCTGGCTGGAGGAGGCCACTCTGCCCTCTCACACTGTGCTCAATGTGTACCAGCTTCTGCAAGTTTTCCTGAGGGAGAGAAACAGCATTTAGGAGACGGCGTGGTGACTCTTCTTTAGACAAACAGGCAAACCTTCCCTCACCCCTCCTCGCTATTTTATTTCTCTAAAAATGGTATTGCAGAATTAGGTTCCAGGGAGAACTGAGCCCAGGGATTTTATGCCCAGAAAGTCTTCTTCCAGCCTTACTGGTTTTATAAAACCTCATCACCTGTATTCATGTCTGCTGTGGCCTTCTACACTCCTGTTACCTCTGATACCTCAGTTCAAAAGAGCCTGCTAACCCCATACAGTATTTATACATTGGCCTCTTTGCTGACTTTCTTGCTCTGGGAACTAATAAACAGGAAGCGGAGCCAAAGTACAGAATCTGCTCCAAAGGCCTGTGCATTCGTGGCATGACATGGATAATCCAAAGCATGCTTTGATACTATAAGACTGCTGCTAGGATTATCTGGAGGTTTATATTCTGTGATAATGGATTAATGGTTTTGCAGTAGGGGATTTAGACGGTTAACTGGTAAGCAGGCAGTGAAGCTGCACCTTGTTGATGCTCCGAAAAGATCAGGAAGTTCATTATCTCTGAGACTATTAACTGCCTCCCTGGCCTTAAAGCACAGACAGTGAGCACTGGCAAGTGACATGAACTTATCTATGAAGATGGTAAATAAGATTAATCTAGCTAAGCCTGTACTCTCATAAAAAAAGATGGCATTTAATGTATATACAAAGGAGGAAGAAGGGATGTCTGTATCTTTGCAATATTGCTGGAGTCTTGAAATTGCGTTCTGTTTAGCAGGTGAGGCTGCTAAAACTGAGGCTTGTGCATAGGTTTCAGCTGTGGTTTTATCTGGTCAGAACAGTAGAATGGGCTGCACAACAGCAATGAGTCATCATTGGGAATATGTCTAAAATTAGGAGTCTCTTGTCTAAGTTAGCCATTGTATCCTAAATCCTCAGTTACACACCCAGAAAAACTACAGACTAAGGACCATATTGATAAACCTTCATGACCTGGCAGCCTTTGACTACAGTTTTTCTGCTATGGCAGATAATGGTCTGTTTTCCTGTGCTCCATTGACTGGCATTAAGATACTCCTGGGCTTAGTTAGACTTGATTAGATCATACAACGTATCTGCCTGACACAAATCAGTGCTGTCTACAGAATCAGCTAATTAAGAAAGCTATCATAGATACCAGAAGGAGCATATCCATGTCAGCATGATGGTCTGTCAAGGCTAATTTATCCTGGATTTCAGCTAACACAATTAATGTACCTATCTCAGCTTGCTTTATGAGATAAGCCTGAAATGCCTCCATATGTTACTGCCCTGGTGAAATATTACACTTGTTTAGCATGAAACTAGGTTTAGTTCTTAATCAGTAACCACATATCAAACATATGGAAACACCTACGAGCCTTGACCAGCACAGGGCTGCATTGTGACCACGCAATATAACTGGCAGTTGACACACTTTCAAGAATTTCAGCTGTCAAGTATCTCTTTTGCAACGCAGGAAATAACAAATGGAATTTTTCAGGTCACTTCTAAAATACTATAGGCCAGCAAAATGGAAACAGAATGTATAAACTAATAGCACAGGAAATACCAGGGAGCATGGGACAGCTGACATTTGCAAAAGACATTTGCAAAGGACTTTCCCATCACTAAAGGGTTTTTTAGCCCCAGCAAAACTTGTCAAATCGACAGCTTCCACAATGGAAACGCATTCTTCATCTGCAGAAACAGCAGTGCCCTCCTGTGAGCACACTCATGGCCAATGCTAGTACTGCTCATTGGGGTTGCTACAAGAGCGAGAGGAGAAGTTGCTGCAGCTCAGATACACCCTCAGCTTTTCTTAAGACTGCTGGCAGAGGCGCCCGTTGTAATGCTGACATTTGCAATATGGACACATGTTCACCAGGAAATGGACAGAGATGTAGCAAACTCATTTCCTGTAGGAAGTCAAACAGCCATTACCTGTGAAGGACAGTGATTTATCTGGGAATGTGGGCAGCTGAGGGGGGTATAGTTTTCCTACAGTTCCCTAAAATTCCCTGTTTATATGGATTTCTTCATTCTCCTTAAAACTATAATCATTCTCCTTTCAAATAGCCTTCACAAGCTACAAGTAAAAAATGAAAACAAAGCTCCACCCGACTACTACCGTAGATATGGGTGGCTGAAACCCTTCTTGGGCCATTTTAGCAGTGAACTGCAGCTTCCGTCGTATTATCATTGTGTCTGTGCAGGAGGAACACCTCCCCAAGGAATTCACCAGCTGTTAACAGCAACAACGATTTATAGCTCTTAGCATCTCAAGGCCTCTAACAGACTGTAGAAGTTCAGAAAGCAATACAAACCCTGCTTAGTTCAAGTAGTGAATGTCTCCTTGAGTTACTGATAGACTTAATGCTATGCAGTGATGGTATGCCTTATGCCTCTGCACATCTGTACATTATGAATAATATTTTCCTACTTGATGAAAATGCTGTGGAGATAGTTAATATCACAATGTGTCTGAAAATTCTGGGTTAATAGCTCCCAGGGAAAAACTGCTAAAAGAGTGTTATTATAATAAACCAAAGAAGCTAATAAAGAATCATTGATATTCTGCAGAAAATCTAGATTATAATTCAATGCTCCTGTCAGATTTTTGGAGTGTAGTTTGATGAGTTGATAAGTGGCAGCAGAAATCTTCCGCCTTCCAGTTACATGCCAAGTCTAAATTATTGTTTAGAACTTCAAGCAGGTACATGACAAGTTATTAATGCTCTATCTTGAGTGGCATGGTTCAGTTTGTTCTGTAATTAGAGTAACTTCTTAAATTCTTTGCATGTTTTTAAATCTGAGAGAAAGAAAAGAACTGCCGGTTGTAGCAGAATGTTGAACTTTGATTCTCATGAACCTGTGCCTTCACAAAACCCACAGCATTCACACAGATGGGAAAGAAGGAAATTCTGTTTTATCTCTTCCAGGCCACAGTTTTGAAAAAGAGCAGATGTGCTCTGATGATATGATAAAAAGCCTATGTGGAGTTTGCGATGAAATTGTTCCAAAACAGACAGTATTAATAGCAATTATTATACAGTCTGTGACATCTGTAAAACTCAGGCGATGTGGTGATGTTCTTCATATTAAAGCATGGCTTAGTGGAGATAAAATCATTGTATGGTAATGCAACACAGCAAATTTGATTTTGGCCACTTATGCATACTTCTAACTTCAGAATAGTATTCATACAAATCTCACATAAATCTGAGTGAAATCTAAGGAAGCACAGGTGCCAGAAAAAGATGTGTGACCTTGATCTGTTAGGAAGTGGGCTCTTACAGTTCTCAACCTCTAATACAGGTATCCCTAAAGCTCTGAGATTACTGTGGAAGCTTTTCCTGAGATCTCAGTTTTATGATGAAATATTTATTATTTTGGTACAAAGAATGCTTTAAGTATGATTATAAATTCTTTGCCTGAGAAGAAAGAAGATCAGAATCAAACCTGTTGAAAACTTTGCTCAGTAAGTAAGTGCGTAGTTTCAGAGTCATTCTGTAGAGTGGCTAGATTGCATTTCTTTTTATGATAAAACTCTAGGCTTGTTACACCACATTCTCCATACAATCTACATCTGTTCTTTTAATAGTGTTTATGTAGTAATTAACTAGTAGTTGTTGCTGAATATCACCCAGAATTAGTCTGTATGAACGTCATTGTTTCCATGCATCTTCCTTTTCTGTTACACTTCTTTCTCTCTCTTCTCCTTCTCTTCCATCACTATTACGTTTCACTGTATTACAACTACCATTTCATCTACAAAGACTTGCTTCCCAACTTTTATCCCCGTCCTAACTACTATGGTGTCTGATGACAAAATAGTTTGTGCTGATACCCAAAGTATCTTTAAATAAAGCTGAGAGTAAGCAACCAGGGAGATTAGTGTAGCTGATTGATAGTTTACGCTCAGCAGAGGTGTTCAGGCTGTCTGCTTGCTGAAGCAGAGTGTGATGGTTTGTTTACACATGATTCACGTTTGGAACTTTTCCTTAGGAATCAGGAGGAGTAAAAAAATTGCTGTCTTTAAAATGAAGGTTTGAAGGTTTGGGGTTGTCACAGAGCCACATCAACACAGCAAATGGGCTGATGTTACTGTATGAAGGGGGAATGTGTTCTGAGGTATATGTGCCGGGATGGGGTTGGGGGTAGAGAAGATTGGAGCAGAAAAGCAGAAATGGACTTAAACCAAATAAATAGGTCCAAGTTTTTTTACGTTTGCATTGAGTGATAATGCCGATCTGAATTTCGAGGTTTGACCTTTAAACCCTTGAACTTCAGGATGCTCAAAATCTTGATCTGTTGTCATGGTTTGAGATCATCTCTGCACAATACCAGAAACCCACCAGTTGGACTTCATGTTGATCTGTGGTAATTTTGCCACTGGCTTCAGGAGAAGCAGGTTCAGAGCCTCAGTCTCAATTGCTAGCTATCAGATGGGGAAGGAGGCAGATCCATGAAGACAGGTTTCTCTGTTCAGGAAATAGCAAGTAGTTTTAGCCACAGCTTACCCCCTTCCGATACAAATATTAGAAGGCTTGGATTTTGTCTGCTGCTGGCCATGAGGAGATCATCACTGAACTCGGTGCTCTGAAACAGCCCATGAACACATGGGCTCCATTTATGACCTTGGCACACATATCAGAGACATGGCTTTCAAACCTGAGCCGCAGAGATTTCCAGATGTGAGCAAAAGCTGACATTCTTGGCTCTTGGGTTCATTTGCTGCAAGCAGATGCTTCTACTTCTCTGAACAAAGCATGAAAGCTTCAGTTTTAAAAGATGAAGGTCACCTTGGGTTTTGAGACTCTTTCATTCTTACCTCCCAAGCTGTTGCAAAAAACATCTTTCATCTAGTTGCCCTACTGCGTTTTTGCCACGTCACACAGTTTGAGTTCACTGCTTCACCCAGTGCTTGCATTCCTCTGCAGCCAGAGGACAAAGGCGTTATGGCGAATATGCTGAATCAGCAGTGCTGGTACATAGCTGTAGTGGCCTCCAGCTGTGCATTCATTCCTTCAACCTTCAAATCCTACCTGAATACAAGCTCTTACTAAGAAGGTTGATATTTAATTTCTTCCCTTTGTCTGCATTGATGCCTAGGTGTTTTTTCTCTGTCTCTTGAATTTCGTGGTTTGGTGCCTGAGTGATTGTTAACAAGCCTCTCTGCTTAGTAAATGAAACAATAAAGAAGTTAATTGAACGCCATCTGTAATTAACCATAGGGAAGGATGTTTGCAATGCCAAAGAGATCTTTAATTTACCAAAGGCACTGCAAAATTGCAATGCAGGATGTTAAATTCAGCAATGTTCAAATGAGAAATAAAATGTGAAAGCTTCCCAAAAGATATGATTCATTCCCCATCACTTGAAATCCCTGCGACCCAATGCAATGATAATATACTTAAGATAAGACTCCTTTTGAGAAAGAAACACTTCAGTGTAACCACTCACTATTGGATGAAATGCAGGATGCCTGGAATGAGGTACTTTGCTCTCTAACATGCATGCTGTTGAACACAAACCACATAATAGTCAACGTTTTCCTTAGTAACTGCACGTACTCCCTGGTAACCTAAATGCTTTGAAAAGAAGTGCTTAAAAATGGCATTTTTTGACATTTTGGAGTGTATTTTGACTATTTTCTAGGTCTAACAAGCCTAGAGTTCTATCATAAAAAGAAGTGTAATCTTGCTACTCTACAGAATGACTCTGAAACTACAGACTTACTGAGTAACATTTCATTAGACTGTGAAGACTGTAGGTACTTCTTTCTAACTACTTGAGCTGTATGCTAGGTCTGTGCAACTAAAGCAAACATGGACCTCAGGGGAGAATTTAGCTGCAGGTGTGGGTGGCTAGTATGACAAAAATGAAGGCACTGCCTTTAGTTATCAACCAGAGGCCCACCAAGCTGAATTCCTCTGGAACCTTCTGGATCCTGTGTCTGACAGTCTCTCTGTGCCTCCTAACACTGCTTCTTACTGGTATCGATAGAAGATAAGACCAGCTATATGCAGGCTATGTTTGCCAGTAAATTAGAACTCTAATATCATGTAAGTGATATTAATAAATCACCAACCTTACAGAAACTGTTCATTACTTTGGAAAACTATATAACTTATCTAGATACCTAAATCTGAATTTAGACATGACCTCTAACCTATGAAAATCTTGGCCAGCCTGTCTGGCTGTGTGATCATTTGCAAGACTATAAACCATGACCTATTCTTCTGAAGTAAAATGGGATTCCAGAATTGTGGAAAATTATGTAAATTAGCTCAGAATGTATCTTTGATAGTACATTTGTGATGTCTTCAACATTTCATATCTAAAAACATCCCAGGCTATAAATAAAATCACGAAAATTCCCATCTCTCACTTCATCGCTACACATGCCATTTCAGCAACCACAAGAGGGAAAAAAAAATGTTGCTTGCTACGGCGATTTATGTCTTGTACTGCTGCACTAAAGGCCATAGACCTACTCCATATCTGCAGTACTGTAAACCAGATCTGTATAAGCCCTTGAGTCGCACCCTGGAGGAGGCTTCAGAATTTAGCAGAGGTATATCAGATGTGCAGAAAAGGCACTATCGATCAGGAGAGCATGTGTCATGGTAGGACTCACCGCTTGGAGCATGCTGTCATTGGCTCGGTCCGTGATTTCAGAAACAATGAATAAGGCAGCTGAGGGATGAAGCAAAACAAAGTCACATAAGAGAGCAGGAAAATAACCCACATCCCTTGTTTTTGCAAGGGCATCTTTAAAAAAACATGAACAACATCCCCAGCAGCAGCTCCTTTAACTTCTTTGGCACCTTCAGAATGCAACTGCCCAGCAAATTTAAGAGACAGCAGAGTGCTGTCAGTTCCCCTTCCCTTCATCATTCACTTGTATGAAACTGCATCATACTTGTGCTGACCAAGAGAGCTTGTGAGGTCTCTTTTAAGCACCTAGCATAGCACAAAATCTTTTTGTGATCTTTTCTAGTTGCAGATTTTTGACAATTGGAGCTTGTGGTAGGGAGAGATTAATGTAACCCAGCTTTAGCCATCCAAAAGCATGGGAGACTAAGGGGATCTGATTCCCCTTACTGCCGAGGGAGAGGACAGGTCATCCCTCTCTGACAGAAGTGTGTGTGAAGTGGTGACATGAATTAACACCTGGATTCTCCACCAGCAAATAACCTGGGCGGGGGCGTGTTTGCTGATCCTGAGAGTAGTGGCATAACGTCTCAGGTCCTTATCTCTAATCTTTCTCCCCCCCTTCCCCGCTCCGTGGAACAGGGCATCATATCTGTTTCTGAGTATAATCTGGAAGCAAGCTAGCCATCGCTGGCCAGAAATGCGACAAGCATGTGCTAACCCAAACCAAGATAGTCAATTGTGGCCACAGGGCTTGAGCGTCTGCCCTGGCTTTGTTTAAATTACTGGTATAGCTGTAGTCCCACTGTCAGTGTCTGGGGTCCTAAATCTTGCACGAGACTCCACTCTTGGTCAGAACAGAGTGACCTTCAGTCAGTCACAGACCTTACTGCTATGAGTTGGTTTGGATTTACGCTCAGTGTAACAGAGGTGAATAGGTTTCATTAATACAATGTTATTCCTGCTTACTCCAGCCTGGAAGCTACTCCCACTGGGGCCACAGCTAAACCTGGTTTGACCTCAGTGGGAGTAAGAGATGTCTGCTTTATCCGTTTGATATGTTGGAAAGGATAGTGTTAGCAGCTGAACATCTGGATTTGTTCTTGATTGTGCAGAACTGATTTTTATGCAGTGTCTTTCAATTTTACTTAGGCTTAAGGAATCCAGAATACACATACACGATTCAAACCTCCTGGTTTTCTCGAGTTCACAGAGCACAGCAGGCGTACCATAGATAATGGTACACAAACAAGCAGGTGGAGCCATCCCAGTTGATTTTACAATGGCCAGACCAAACATGGACAGAGCCAGAGAGGACTAGAATTTCCCAATGACTGGAGCAGAACTACAATATCTGCACCATGCTTGTATAAATGAGAATTTCTTCTTCTGCAAGTTCATCATGTCAAAACTGTAGGAAGCCCACATGAAAAAAAGGTAGGGTTCTTGCCCTAAGTTATTTGTCTAAATTAGTAATCAGTTCTTATAGATCTTATATCTAACTTATTAACACAAAATCTTGAAAATAATCCTACCAGTATAGATCCTGTACCTCTTTAGAAGCAGAGTTAGCAAATCAGAATTTTTGTTCTACCCATTTCATTTTACCTTGTGTGGCTTCATACTCTGTAGAATCAGGGCAAAGATTATTCAAGTAATCTGTAGAAAACAAACACAGACATCCAGTAATCAGAATACAGATCCACATAATTTTTAGTGTTACTAGCTAAAAAATAGTGTCCTAATCATAGACTCATAGAATGGTTTGGGTTGGAAGGGACCTTAGAGATCATCTAGTCCAACCCGCTGCCATGGGCAGGGACACCTTCCACTACACCAGGCTGCTCAAAGCCCTCTCCAACTTGGCCTTGAACACTTCCAGGGATGGGGTGTCCACAGTAATGTCCCATATCACTTTATTCCCAAATAATTAAGTGCATATAGCCTCATTCCAAAGCAAACCTCATTTTGATGGCATTCTGCTTTGAGAATCAATGCAAGAGCATTGATACAGATTTGGATTCATCACATAACTTGCCAAGTATAAATGAGTAAACAGAGAGTGACAAAAATACTTCCTTGTTTCTCAGCCAAGAGAATTGCTGATTAGCACCACTTTACAAATAATTGTTCCTCTAATGAATTATGTTTTCCCATCTGAATGAATGGTGTTGGCTGTAATGACTGATTGTATTTATAGTAAATTAATTATATGCATTTTATAGACACAGGAAAAAGACTCTGGTTCTGTACATGCAGAGTACAATGATTACTACTGAACTCAATCACATTCTGAAAATAGGTTTTGTAAAATACACAATGACTTACATTTACAGGAATTATATTTCATTATATACAAACATTTAACTTGTCAGGTTTTTTTGGACTACTTGCCTTGAATCATCTGTCTGTTCTTTGTCTGGATCTTTATGCTTTTAATGACTACAGTATATGACTGCCAACATTTTAAACACGTAATCCTTAAATACTTAACTCTTTCTGATGAATCCAGGCTCCTAAATTCTGCATCCAAGAACTAGGCCTCTGTGCTGAGAATGGTGCTGTGCATGGCTATCCATTCCCTTGAATGTCCTATCCATATATGTTTCTCTTGCTAGGGCTGTGCCCTCCCCGGTGTCCCGAAATCTACCTGGCTTTTACATGCATTCAGGAAAGCATGTACTCAGGCAGGCAGGAAGGGGTTGTGTGGTGTTACCAGGCAATATTTAGTTCCTTTTCACAGCTGCAAGCTCTGTCCTTGGCTATGGACGTTTAACTGAGTGGGCAACTCCTTTTGGCTGTAGTGCAGCAATTGGCAACCAATATCCTTATACCCTTCCTTATCTGATAGAAACAGCCAGTTATGAACACACAAGTACACCTGCATTTTTAAATTTTTTTTATGCTGTCTAGAGAATCTGAAGGACTGCACTGTTCCAGGCTTACCCTGTCCTAGCAGGCAAAGAGGAGCTTGGTTTCTTGAGGTGAAGAACTGAAGCAGTAAACCTATTTTCTGGAATATCTTAATCCAGCAGACTATCTCACACAAAAGCTTTCATTTTCCCAGTTAGTGCCAGTACCTGGGACAAGGAGGAGTTCAAGTTGCTTCAACCATAGATAGAATCCTATCACTGGAGCTGCACTGAAACCTTTCCAGCTCTCTCACAAAATACCAGGCTTCATGTTTACAGTTTGCCTTGTGGACCATAGAAATGGGCAGAGAGAATGGAGCACAGTAGGAATATTTTTTTTAGGTGCAGTATTTGTGTGCATGCACTAAAACCACTGTAAGGATCGCGTGAGACTACTAAGTACTGCAACCCACAAGTCTGGAAAGTTGCCCTTAATGTGGACACACCCAGAGAGCAAGTCAGAAAAAAAAGTCCTACTATTGGCATCCGGTGTCCATTTGTATTGCTCGTACTAAAAAAGCAAAACCAGCTGTGAATAATGAGCTGCATCCTTGATCAAAGTGTCTGGAGCAAGATGCAACTGGTGCTAATCTGTGCTATGAATAAAGATTTCATATGGTCACTTTGTTCTGCTGCATTCATAGGAGTCCTAAGACGCTGTGCCCTTCATCGGCTGTTGAGTATGGGCAGGGTTTATGGCTTCCTTTTTACTGCCCCATGCATAACTAATCTTGCATCCTTCTCCACCCACACATTAACATACCCCCAAACCATTTCTCCATCTTCATGTTTATGGATCCATGCTCTTTTGTGTTCTGATCTGACTAAATTACTTGACAACACCGAAATTCATTGTTGCATTTCAGCATTTTCTTCCCAAACCAGTCCATTAGTGACAAACCTAAACTTCACAATTCTTTCTAGGGACCACATCCTGCTTAAGAAAGCTTGGTTCCCTCACAGGCTCCAGGTGGGAGTGATTATATGGTTCTGAATATAAAAGGAAGGTGTTACTGTAAATGTAAAATCTGGAAATGTACTGTTAATGTAAATTTGGATCCCTGCCTCCTACAGTGCAGAGAAATTGGACTGTGATTTCGACTTAAACTTACCCCTAGCCTTAGATGTACTGTGCATAGGGCTTAGGGTGCAGTAATGGGTACAACTGCTTTGTTGATGGAGTAGGAGATGGTGCTTGCCGCTGTCATACAGCTGTAGTGCAGAGTCCCCTTGCTGGGGACTCCTGTCCCCTACTGTGTCTGATAATTGCCCTTGACATAAATAAAATCAAACCTGTTTGCTGGCAATGAGGCTGAACTTTGCCTCTCCTAATTCACAGAAGGAAAAAGCCAAGAAGGAGCGGCTAAAAGCACCTGACTTCACACTTTTTTGTGACCTTTCAGCATGGCTGTGCTGCAGAAGTGCCTGCGCCTTCCCAGGCTCCCTGACATTTCCTGAATCCTGTACCAAGCATATTGAAGTTCCCAGGAAATTCCACACTGCTTCAGCCCTATTTTATCTGTCTTGGCATCAACGTGTGGCATAGTGGAGGCACAGAACATCATGGGAGGGTTTCCACTGAGTACTATCGAGAGTGTTTTTACTGACCTGTGAGCAGCACACGATACTGGAAGACACGTTGCACCACTTTCAAAAGCAGGTGTTTCACGCTCTGAGGGCTGCCACCAGAGCTCTGCTGTCCTCAATGGAAGGGAAAGGAAACACAAAGATTCTGTGTTGTTAGACTGGAAGGCTAATAGTGGTCATGCTTTAAAAAAAATGAAACAGGAAAGGGCTGAGAGACACCTCCCCCTCATTTGCGTGTGTATGCACGCATGCAAGAGGGTAAGAAGTTACAAACTCACTGATTCTAGGGCAAAATCCTGCTGATCTCATCCTAGGAAAAGCCTCATCTGCCTTCTTAGAAATAAGAGCTAATTCTCAGGGTTTATAGTTAAGACAGAAGTGTACAGGCATGTGACTGGGAGAGATGCTGAGAATACAGACTCTCAGTAGAAAGCTTGCATTTCATGTTCAGAGTGGTGTGAGCCATCAGAACTCCTCTCCATTGCTAACAGGAAATAATCATGGTGACTGCAAGGTATCTGTTTGTAAATGCTGACTTCCAAATGTCTTTTGAAATTAGCCCAACTGAACTTTCCCATCCACATACGGGTTTATGCTTTTGAAATTATGTGACGTGGCCACATTGCCAGAACTTTAAAATATAACCAGGAATCATGGAATTTCTGTCACATGTATCTGGATGGTGTTTTTCAGTTATTCAGCACGAATGATGGAGTTAACACAACTGGAAAAATACGTGTTTTCTTGCTACAGGGGCAGAGGTTACAGGCCTAGAGGTTACAGACCATTCAGGGAGTCTAGATGAAAAGAACCCTGTATGTGTCTGGCCAGTGGAGTTTGTGTCTTCCTGTGCAGTTCAGTGTTGCCTGTCTCAACATCCTCTGTAAACAGAGGAAGCCGTTAACAGGCATTCAAAATGCAGAAAAAAATGCTATTGTAAAGACAATGTGGGATGATTGCTGCCAGCAACTAAGCTCCTATACAGGCTAACCCTAACTTCGTGCTGGCTAGGCCCAGTACAAAAGAAAGGATGGAAAACACAGTGAAAGAATAGAAGATATGAAGAGATGATAATAATAGTAGTTATTAACTGTAACACACCCCCAAAGAGCTTGATAAGTTAATAAGCGACTGAGAAACTACTCCACTATGTGCACATACTTCAGCAAAATACACTCACAGAACTGTAGATTCACAAACATACATTCTGTATCCACACACAGGGGTGTGCAGGCGACAGACACAGACAGAAGTACGTCATGCACATGCAAACATCTCACTTCAGTTTTAGCACCAGGATGCATGAAGAGAGCTATTCTCCCATTCTACCCTATGTGAACATTGGTGGAGTTGCAGAAGAAATATCTTTGAGTAAGCCCTGTGGCACAACCATGCATTAGCGCAGGTAAAAAAACATGGGAGCCTTACCTCAAACTCCTGAATTATGGTAGCCAGTTGGGAATGTTTAAGGCAGGTTTCATCTAGCAAAGCCAAATTGCTATCAAACTGCATAATGTATGTTGTGTGGTGATTCAGCCTTGATTTTCTGGAGAGAAAAACATCAGCAACTTTCTGGTGTTCCTCCCTAAGGCCACAGAAAGAAAAGAAGTGGCAAATAAATAAATAAATAAACAGAAATTAAAGAAGAGCCATACTTCTTTGTCATTGTATTAGACGCAGTAGCTAAGGACATTGTGCAGCTAAAGCCTAGGTTAAATGGCAGGAAAGAGGGAGTGCTTCAGTGACAATAGTGGACAACAAAACGGGCTGCTGTAGAATGGGCACCGCGAGTGGCTGGTCCTTCGGCTGTGCCTTTGCCATGGCAGCACTGTGTGTCTGTAGTGGGTAGAATGCTTCCTTTCTGGACACAGCTTCCGCTTCTCTAAACAGACCATCCAGCTGCTGCAGTGCTTTGAGCACTGGTTGTGGGGGATAATATAATGTCTTGAGCTGTAAGATCGTATCTTCAGCTCTCCTTCATTGCCCCCTTCTCAGCACTGCCCCACCATCATCTGTCTCAGCACCCAGTTGCACAGTATTTAAATATTTACAAAGCATGTACAAGGAGAGAATAGGACAAAATGTGAGATCACAAAAGAGTAATCATAGTTAAGAGAGGAGCATGAGCTCCTGAGGATGTCAGAGCAACGGACCGTCTGGGGAAGCACAGGCACCTGGAAGGACTTAATGGAAGGTTCAAGGGTGGTGGTGACCTGGGAATCTGTATGAGCACAGCCCTATGCCATGTGTCATTCTGCTGCGTTGGCAGCATTTGACCTCTTTTTTCCCCAGTGCCACAGAGTATTTGTGGACAGAATCTTAGGGCATTTCCAATTGTGTCCCTTTTGTCTTAGGGAATGGGCAGCATGCTGCTAGAGTAGGGCTGTGACTTCAGGCTGCTGTAGGTTTAGTCAGCTTGGGTCTGCAGAGGTAATTTCTCTTAGACATTTATATTCCAGCAGTTTGATAGACTAGGACCTGGCAGCCTACCTTAGGTCAGCCGTCTCCTTAACTGAATGAATTTTGGAACTTTGTCTGTCCTAGGCATGGTCTTATTCTCTCATGGAAAGACTTCACCCTGTGAGGATGTTTGGCTTAGGTGGAGTCCCTCAGCAGGCTGCCAGTGTCTGTTTGGCTTGGAAGCCGAACCTGTGCAGAGCCCTGCCTTGGTGCTGGGAGTGAGGGGGGTTCGCTTATCTGAGAGCTACGCAGTTGCTATGTAGATTTCTGTAAGCAGATGATCTTCTTTAGGATCAATTCTGATATCCATTGTTCCCGCGTCCCATGGCATGAGTCTGTGACCTTCAGGCCATCAGTGCGAAGCCACTTGGTGATGGCTATGAACTGGCATCAGAGGATAAGCGTATGAAGCAGGCTGTCCTCACGCTGACTGGCAGGGCCATTTCAGAGTCATGGGCTGCGCAAATGTTTCAGTATTTGGTTTCTTAGCCTGACCGCCTCTACATTTACCTCCTTCCTGCCTCTATGCAAAATCTGCCAAAGTAGTTCAGGTTCTATTCCTTTCACCTCTGCAGGAATTCCAGCCTCCCTGCTAGTGGAGTCAAGGGAACACTGACGAGTTCACCCCCTGCTGCGGAGGGTATGTTGAGGCCATCAAACCATGCCGTTCCATACTTACCATTTAAGGACTCTTTCTTCCAGTTCTCCCAGTATGTCTTGGTGTAATTCATAAATTTCAGGGAGTTCACTTAAGCCCTGCTTGAGCTTAACTTCCTCCTGTTCATTTTCATCTTCTTCTCCAAGCACTTTCAAGATACCTTCATAGAAATCCTGTGAAGAACAATACAGAAATTAGGCAAACAGACTTAAACTCTCTTTTCTGAAATTATCATTACAATTTCTTGACTCCTAACCTGTGCTTTCTAGGAACTATAAGATATGTGATCAATAGTGATAGAGTGTGCTCAGTATAGCAAGGAGATCATAGCGTATGTTTTCTTCCATCCATTATTTCATACACATTTTCAGCTGAATTCCACAATGCTGTCAACCCAAAACTGAACATTTCACCTGACCAAGCCATCAGACCCTTATGCATACAATGAGTCTGGTATCTTTTTATTTACTGTGCTTTTTTTTCCTGCTTTTCTGGGTGTAGTTGGTTTTATTTTTCTAGTGTTTCTTAAACAGAGACATAATTTTTAAAAATGAAGGATGAGATTCTCCTGTCACATCATGGGGTCCAACTGCTTGACATGAAAAACATCAAAGTCTACATGTCTTGTGCTAAAATTTGCAACATTTGTCTCCAAATCTGAACTTAAAGAGTGGAAGAAGCTATAAATTGAAGCTATGGAACAAATCGTTTTCTGTATGAAACCTGAGAACTTTTTTCCCCACCTTAGAAATGGGTTTGATCCTGAAGTGGTTTATAAATTATATGGGCACAAGAGTAATTTCCTCTATATTAAAATATAGCCAGCTCTGGTACATAATAGGGCATCTGTTTTAGAGTCCACAGCAAAATGTTTCCCCAGTTTTGACTTGGAAGTGAGGAATAAGGCCTCCATCTGAAACTGCAGTGATAATTTGTATTAGATCCCTGGGAATTAGAAAATCATCACAACAGCAGACAGCAAATATTTTGTGTGCAAAACCTTGCTTAAAAGTTCCTTCATCCAGAGCTCTGGATGCTGAAATGTTTTCAGGTTAAAGCCCGTTTCCTACAGAATCCATCTTTTCTGCTTCAGACTTGTAAAGGAGCCTTTGCTGGCACCTGGATACACTCGAGAGACTTTGGCCCCTGTGGTGCCCTGGCTCCTTCCCGGTTCCTACCAGCCACTGCCGTTTCCCCTGCCTGCTGCTGCCGCACACACCCCCTCTTCACAGGCAGTAGCTAGAGAAGCTCGGGCAAATTAAAGGTGCCTGGGCTTTGTGGAGGTCTGAATGCAAATTGTGTCAATGGGGTGCAAGGCAGTGCACAACACAAGGCAGGAAAGCCGATGCTGTGCAGAGGTATAACTAACGCTTTGCTGCTGAGTAGCGTGAGGCAGGTTCCTAACCCACGGATTCTGGCTGCTTTTGCCAGGAGCTAGGGCACTGTAACTACATGATTCATCTTCATAGCAGTATCTGGTGTTCAAAAGCAGCAGCCTTCATTCAGTATAAAAGGGTATGATTTCAGCACCTGCTTCTTCAGTATTGCTAAAAGTACAAGTAATTGAAAAGCATTAGCATAGTATTCAGTGTTTGCCTGAGGATGTTCCTGCAGAACCGTTACAAGTTTGATTCTCCTCTGTATTCCCTGTAAGGAGATGACTCTGTGTGTTCCCCCATCAGGGTAAGGTTGGGCTCTTACTGCTGAATTTCATGGGCAAAGTATATGAATCTCTGTTTTTCTATGAAAATAAGTGAACAACTAGAAACCTAAGCGCATCCCGGTTTGTGATGAGAGCAGAAGCTGGGCATTCATATACAATTGCTTAGAAACAAATTCCGTGAGTGCCTTTTCCAATCTTCTGCATCCCAATAACCCGTGAAGTGCATGGAGTTTTTATTGCACAAGATGAGGAAAAAAGGGGTGGGAGTGAAAACCAAGTAAATAATGAAAACAGCTCAGTACAGAGGCCACATTAACTTTGAGGTTTGAAGACTGGTGACCATTTTGGTGCAGCAGCTGCAGACTAGGAGACTGCAAAGCTTCCTTCCTTATAAAAATATTATCTGTCCTTATCTGACCTTCCTTTCTTTTTTGTGTGTGAAGGTAAGGCTAGGGGATTGCAGCATTCTCTCTTACTGCTAGCCGGCCTACACATGCTGGTTTTTTCCAGCAAGTACCTCAAATTGAGTATTGTTTTTAAATTCAGCATTAAAAATACTTGAACAGAGGCTTTGTAGCTGAATATACTTAGATTCACTGACTTAGAAGCCAGGAGGGACCATATTGATATGATACGATCTAGTGTGGTCTGGTCAGTAGTCCAGACCACAAGACTTACTAGAACATAGCATTACTAGGAAAACAACCAACTTTGATTTAAGACAGAATATACCACGTTATGGATACACTAACACTGCACCCTGAGAAAAAAAAGACCAAGTCCCAAAAGGGGCTCATGAAGGGTCAGGTAGCTCATAACCACATTCAAAGCCCAAGCATCTAGTCACCGCAGAGCTGGGTTAAAGCCTTGGTTGCATCCTGTCAGACTAAGGCCATCACACCAGGAGTTGTTCTTCCAGCAGGTTCGCACTGGGCTCTGCTTCAGCGCAAGATCCAGTGTAAAGGAAAGCTTTAGTGTCTGACCAGTCTTGCCAGAGCCATGCTGTGAATGTATTCTTTCACACGCTACTCTGCAAACAGTGAGTTATTATTAAAACCAATGTTTCTTCAAAGATATATTAAAAACATTCTCTGCCTGCCCATGGAAGCCGATTCATCAGAAAAAAAAGATGCAGCTGCTTTAACAATCGCTGAGAAGGTGATTCTGCTGGATGAGTTAATAGAAATGGCAGCTAGATTTTTCCACTCAAGAGACCATTTCCTGGCCTCCTATCCCATTGTATGTGCTGTGGCCAAATGTGCTGTGAAAGGAAGCAGGGGCTTGATAAAAAGAAACCTCCAAGGTCACACAGCTCATTGAAGGATGCCAAGCTGTTTCTATCCAGCCCTGAACCAGGATGGGATAGGTTGAGTATCTTCCTCTGTCAGGATCTACTGATCATGAAACCTATTGCCAAAAAGTCAAATTCTGTTCCCTGAACTTTCAGGGACAATACTATGAACTTCCCTGGGCCGTATGGGGATTTACCACAGCATTTCTCATGACTTTGGCTTCTGTCTAGTTAAGTTTTGTAAGTACGTGGAGTAATTAAGGAGGAGTCTGAAAGAACTGATTTCCATGAATCTTGCTAATATCCAGGTACGAGCAACTCAACAAAGTATGTTTCACTGGGGATTCATGTTTTACATTAGATAGTCCACTTTAGTTTGATTAAATCAAAGTAGCTGTGTTGATTTCAACATGCTGGGGATCTGGTTGGTATGACTGTGGTCCTGCT